ACACACACACACACACACACACACACACACGTAACCTTGAATATCTCCATGATAAAGAGAAGCAGAGAAAAGAGCGACAGTAAAACCGGTGCAGATACAAAGATACAACACACACTGCTCTCAGCGAACACACACACCTGTTCACCTCTGTTACCTGACAACATGACACAATTACTGCTCTAACGATCACTGACGGAACACGACTGCAGCTTTTATCACATTCAAATCTTCAAACCTCATTCACTCAACATCACGTGAACCTGCAGGGACGTCCTGTGTGTCACACCAAGCGCTCCTGAATTCCACCTGTAAGTGTCTCAACAAATAAAAAATGGAGTGAGAGACTCACGATGACGTGCGATTGAAATATCTTGGATAACAGCGTTTATTAGAGCTGGACTCGTGTATCAGAGTCTTTTGCAGAAACATCAGAGTCTGTGTTTATGTTTGCTGACATAAAAACTTACAGTATAATGTAGGTGTGTCTTTCTATTTGTATCTGCGTGTTATATTTTTAAAGATTAAGTTTAATTCTGTGTTATATTCACTTATCTCATTAACTTCGGAGCAGAAATGTAATCGTCATTTCAACCAAAGCTTCTTCGCGCTGAATGAAAGCTCATCATCTCACGGAGTTGAAACTATTAGTGAATAAATGTACAAGAATCAATTTAAATAATAAAGATTTCTCTGTATGTGGAATGTTCAGAGTGATTGTTGTTCCTTTTCTGTCTGAAGTGAAAAAGTTCAAACTGAAACAAGACGTCGTCTCTTTATTCTCGTTTCATCATTTAAATGAGGAAAAGAGTTTCACAATCTCTGTCACCTTGAAAAAGACCTGGAACCTTCAGGGATATTTTAGATTTTTTTTTTCTTCAAATAATCCAGATGATATAATGTGTGTGTTAACTAGTGTGTAGTACTATAGTACTGTAGTACTGTAGAGTACTGTAGTACTGTAGAGTACTGCTCCTGAAGGTGCCTAATGCTGCTAGTGATACCATCATGATGTTACCATGGCAACTAGATGAAGCTTCATTCATTTCCTCCATTCAAACAGAAAGACTACTACCCCCCCACCTGACAACACGTCAGACTCCGTCTACAAACCAATCAGAGTCAAGTATAGGTAGACTCCGCCCACATAGGTGATGACGACAGGACGTTTGTGAGACAAAATTCTTTAGTCTCTAAATCACAATGTGAAACTAAAACTAACAGATGAAACATGAACAAACACGAAGCTTCAGACTCGGAGAGAAAACGACTCGGAGAGAAAACGACTCAGAGAAAACGACTC